GTCCCCACCTTTGCATTTAACTGACTGCCCATTTCATTTAATTACCTGTCTCACATTTACAGTTATTGGACAGTGTCTGTTTAATTTTAGTAACTGGGATGTTTTTACAGATTTAGACAATTTGTTTCTATATCACTGTCCATTACCTCAAGATCTGGATGACCTGTCTATAAGCTGTTCATAAGTAGGAACATAGAAGGTAGCACAATTAATGAGACGTGGTAAGGGCATGTACTGTGTGGCAATCAATCAGCTAAACTGATTATGGGGAGGCATTAATGCAGAAAACTGGTAGGGTTACTCTCCAGGTGTTTGACCTCATGGATTGATGCAATCTTTACAGGGAATCCTGATGCTGCATTTCACTGGGGGACCAGTAAACTGACACGTAATAAGTTGCTACGATATGCAACAGTTACATTAATACGTGGTAAACCACATGTGGCCCACATTTATCAATACATTTATATGCTTTGGCAATGATATAATCAAAGTTAAACTCTGCAAAGCTTTTGTGTGATAACAGAATATATGCAATCCTTGGTATTTTATAGAAAAATATCTAGGAAATGAGAAGCGATGGCATTAGAGGTTAGTATCATCAGTCAGCAGACGTTCAGCACCAATATGCAGCAAATTTCATCAAAAACTGTTCTGAAGTTATCGCAATTTTTCTTGCACAGGCTGAAATGAAACAATATGCAAATTAACTACTTAATATGCACAGTCATGGCTCCAAAACTAATCGTGTCTGCACATTACACTGAGCTACTCTACACAGACAGGCACACCAGTTATTAGTTCCCTTGTGTTCGACTCTCAGATGAACTATTGAAATACTCTGTGGTTTTAATATAAAGATATGCAATATAGAATCCACATAATTAATACTGAAAATAAAATCACTCAAAGTTATTATAACTTTACTAGTAATACAACTATATACACAATGCAAGTTTGCCTTTAAGCACACTATAAAGTTAGACAACCAATAAGTAAAAAGAATAAGTCCACTTGAAAAACAAGATGGCCACCAGTTGGCCATTATTATATTGTTACATCAAATCATGTGATATTCATACTGTGTTGATTACCGGTATGTGATGTAATTGATAATTTGGAAAAATCAAAACACATTTTTTGTGCAGATGTAGTATGTCTTGTCTTTGTAATAAGTCTGAATTATATTTGTAAAAGTGTGTAAGAGAAAATAAACAAAATGGGCTTTAGTTGGCCATTTTTAAATTACATTGTGAAACAACATGAGCTACATTACTAAGTCTGATTCAATTACCAAGTTTGAATGCCATTTTGATGGCATGAAAAACTGATGTCAAGTTGAATATCGCTGCCAGCTGGTCACATTGAATCAAAACATTAACAGCTTTGTACAAAATGAAATGGCCTTGAATGCGTGAGCAGAATCACCACCACCACCCACCTGACCCCACCAAAAATATGATACATTACATAACATTTCCACAGCCTACATACACTTGCATACATACATACCCTTATGCAGAAGTATTTAAATATAATATGAACATAACAATTAACTCAGTAATGTTGATCTAAATTAAATATAAAATACTTGAGAGTGATGGAACCTGAGGTGTTGCTTGACACAATTATGAGATAAATACAAAGCTGTATTGCTGACCATGGAAATGTAGGAATTCTGAAATTTTAATATTGTATTTGTTGTTACAGCAATTAAGTCTATGATTCTTGATTATTCAAATATCCAATTCATTGGCAATCAAGTGAATGACTGTTAAATATAAAGATCCAATTCTATTACAATAATTATCAATATAATTATGAAATGAATATAAAAATATTCAATTAATTTTCTAGAATCACGGATTACAAAATGTGACGATGCAATTCCAATGTAATCGAGTAAATGATTGTTAAATATAAAGATAATTATCTAATTCATTTCCACTTATTCCATGATTATAGAAATGTGACGATACAATTTTATTGTAGTTTTATAAATGACTGAATACAGAGATCTAATTCCATTGCAATCAAGTCAATGACTAATAAATTTGTACTTGAGTCAATGATTATTGAATATGAAATATACAATTTTATTCACAATCAAATAAATGTATTGAATTTTATACTAATATTAATGTCATGCAGACAGTATATTTCTGAAAAATTTCACTATGGTGTTATCTGTGATAATGTGTTCAAAAGTCAAAGTAAGATTTACAGTTTTGTATATTTAAAAAAAAACTTGTATTAAAAAGAAACTTTACAACAGGTACAACTGATTTCACACAATGCTTTAAAATCAAGCGATATATACATTGTGTGAAGAAATGATATCTACATGCCATATAACATTGTGTGGAAAAATGATATCTACATGCCATATGACATCACATTGTGTAAAGATTTGATATCTACATGCCATATGACATTGTGTGAAGATTTGATATCTACATGCCATATGACATTGTGTGAAGATATATCTACATGCCATATGACATCACATTGTGTGAAGATTTGATATCTACATGCCACGTATGACATCACATTGTGTGAAGATTTGATATCTACATGCCATATGACATTGTGTGAAGATTTGATATCTACATGCCATATGACATTGTGTGAAGATATGATATCTACATGCCATATGACATCACATTGTGTAAAGATTTGATATCTACATGCCATATATGACATCACATTGTGTGAAGATTTGATATCTACATGCCATATGACATCACATTGTGCGAAGAAATGATATCTACATGCCATATGACATCACATTGTGTGAAGATTTGATATCTACATGCCATATGACATTGTGTGAAGATTTGATATCTACATGCCATATGACATTGTGTGAAGATATGATATCTACATGCCATATGACATCACATTGTGTGAAGATTTGATATCTATATGCCATATGACATCACATTGTGTGAAGATTTGATATCTACATGCCATATGACATCACATTGTGTGAAGATTTGATATCTACATGCCATATGATGTGACTTATACAAATATAAAATCATATCCGGTATCACAGGTGCATGTTTGGTTGACTGATTCTTGTTGCCAGCTACCACGACAACCCATAGTACCAATAGCACTCCATAACGTTGTGGAGCCTGGGCTGCCTTCACCTTTACAGTGACTCATCGTGTCCATCATGGCTGGGGTCTGACATTCAACACATACCATCATATCTGTAAGTGATGAGAAAAGTATTTGTATTAAGTTACGGTCAGCTAGAATGTTTGGTACTTAACAGCATTTTAACCTTTTCACCACCAGTTCTATTTTTTTTATCACAAATTCACAAAATAGTCCTGTTTATAGTCTGCACTTTCCTTCAGAAGTTTGGAACAAAAAATAGCCAAATTTTGTGAGTAGTTGTAGCTATTTCACAGGAAGGCATATGCGCATATTATGGGCATAGACACTGTTTAGCCAATCACTATTGAATGTTTGAATTTGAATGAAAGCCCTGTGTCTTTCACTGTATGAAACTTATATTAATCAAGGTTGCAAAAACGGCATGTTGTTAAAATGATCGTAAGACCCATTTGATGGCTGTAATACAGCTACAGTGCATACCCACCTACTAATTTTATTCAATGAACTTTTGTGGTCAAAGTATTTTTTAAGTCATCAGGGGTGGCCATGTCTGCTTTAGAACTTTTTCACAATACCTGGTAGGTTCACTGACATTTCCTACAATCTGAGCATTTTTATTTATAATCTAAGGTGAAGCAATATATCATGTCTCACATGATATATTTATCTGTAATGTAATATGTGTAAGATCCGAATACAAGTATACTCTAAATAAAAGTGTGTTGTGTTACCTTGTTCTAGAAAAAATGTATGAACGATATTTTGCTCAATATTGTTTTAAAATTCAGTGCAATCCAAATTACTATTGACTGATGAGTAGTTATTGTTCACCCATTAACAGGGAAAATGAGCTGGGTTTGACCGCTGCGCAACAGATTAGTTTTACTATACTGAAATCAATGTTGAAAATAAAATATTGCCAGGTGACCTGTGGGAAATTACAAGCAGGCTTTTATAAAGAAGGAGAGCATTTTGAGTTTAAAACAAGTTTATTATTTACCTTTTCTAATCATTTCTGTCCATTGTTGTTTGCGTACATTCACACAGTTTCTGTGCACGCTTGTAATGGTGACGTATACACAGTGACTGGAATAAATAAGACATGAATTGACATGTAAAATGCAGTACATAGTAATTAATGTGATGAATATAGGATAGTTTCACATCTTGTCTCCCATTATGAGTATGCACATTGGGGAGGAATGTGATTATGCTTCAAACAAAGTTATTGAATTAAGGGGCATGGAATTACCTTGGATGTCGTTCTTTTCGTCTATATGGTCCAATTTTATTATTCTTTAGCCTAGCCTTTCCAAACTGAGATGGCAGAATCATTGCAATACCTACAAAATAAGCGAGTCAACCACTGCTTTACTATACTAGTATATAGCAGGGACATTCCATAGTAATATCAGTTACATTGCAACATATCAAATGAGATTGTTTAACACGTCTGCTTTAATTGATATATCTATATTCATTGATGCATTCTTTCCAAATAGATATACAGTATACAGTACTGATTTTCAATATTGTGTTCGGTTTCCAATGCTCAAATGACAGTATGATGTCCATGTCTACAAACTTCAAATTACAATGTGTGAATGTGACTCGTTTTATGGTGCTTCTTTGGTCAATCAATTCCAAATATTTATTAGCTTAAATAATGGTATCAAACCTAAACTACCGGTACAATTATGTTCAAAAATGTGAAAAAAACACAAACAAATTAGAGTATACATTTTTGTGATAATGTTTACATAACAGTTCTAACAATGTGCAGGATTGTGCTAAGTTCTTATCTACGCAATACAAATTAAGTATTCATCAGTTGCTCCACTTATGTTTACATAAAACGCTCAACATGCGTCATCTCACTGCTTGATATCAGAAAAAGCTATTGCATAAATTCTATTTTCATTTGATTATTATGCTTAAATACAACTATTTCAAAAGCAAAGTACAGTCAAATAATTAAGGATTTCCATTGCAATTTTAGGCTATGAGCAATAACAGAAATGCCCTCCATAGAAATAAATTCTATTCTATGTAGTAAGCATCACAACAAAGCGCCGTCAACTGGCAAACAACAACATAACATGTGAATGTAAACGTATTTACCATTTGACATAAGCTCGTTAGTTTCACAGTATCCAGCATAGCACCCTCTACGTTGTATCAGGGGAGGACAATCGACGCCACCATTCTCCGATAGTTTCTGTCTGAATCGTTGGCGTTCACTGTAACCAATGCCACACAGAACACTACATCCACTCCAATGGGACCAATCCGATACTTGGCAGTCAGATGCTATAAAAACACATATATATTAAATCGGATGGGTCGTCACCTGCACACGCACGGGAATTGACGATACACAACGCACGCTGAATAAAAAATACGAATCTTTCACAGCCAAACGATCCATTGGGATAATATTAAGTCAACCGCTAACAACATTCGGCCGATTTCGTCGTTTTTCTGTGAAAAAATCCCTTGCATACGAACAACTAATTACACGAAGAACGTTGAACACTATCCTGGGGTATTTGAAACCAAAAATAGTCATACCCATTTAGCAGCCAATCGGTGACGGCCTTACAGTTAGATGACAATTTCGGTTTCAAATACCCCGGGAAAGTGTTCTATGTTCTTCTGTAATTAGGTTTTCGTATGCAAGGGATTTTTTCTACATAAAACGATGGATACGGCCGAATTTTGTTGGTGGTTGACTTAATATTATCCCAACGGATCGTTTGGCTGTGAAAGATTCGTATTTTTCCTGATTTGTAAGAATCTGAAAAACGCGTTTCATAACTTGTCTCTTTATTTAGTTTCATGCCGTATTCAAGATGGCGGCCCCATATAGTAAATATCGTATTAATTTATTATTATCACTTGTGCGCCAGCTGACTGTGGCTACATACTACGGCCGTCTGCTGCATGTGCACGTGACACCCCCCCCCCCCATCTAAACGTTATGGTTGAAATTACCTAACAAAATAAAATAACAGAAGGCAATGTGACACGAACATCAGCGCGCGCATGACGTTTACAAGTAAATCCAGGGAATATGTAGCTATTGGTGAATTACTTTCTACGAAACATGATATGGTATCAATTATTTAATGGCATTAAATAAAATATATCAACGCCGATCTTCTAAAATCTTGTAACCAGTTTGTGGGAATGATTCCAAGAGCCTCGGGTCACTAGTCACTATACCAATGAGTATGCGAGGCACCCAAGGGGTTATAAATTATGTCTCAAAATAGGCAAGAGGTCCATTTTTTATATTTTCAAGATATGAAAAGGATCGTATTTTTGCTGTTTTGATATAATATTTGAAATGTAGCAATGATATATCCATGTTACCATGACTTCGAACTAGTAAGGGGTCTTTTTTTCTTGTACACTTGTTTCAAGCAGTGTATTTTTGAGAAGTCTGGTCCCCTGGGCCGTGTTTTTCACCAAAAGTTGGTTCATCGCATACAATTATATAAATAATTACAAGTGGACCCTCCGGGGTGTTTTTTTTATTCCTACTCGCTGCGCCCGTGAGAACTAATTATGCTAAAGCGAGAATGTAGAATACTACTGGCTGATCTCTCTCACGTAACTGCTGACGTAACTCGTCGTTTTGTTGGTTACAAGTTTTCTACATCGCATAATTGCTAACCACAGTTACCTGTTGGGTCGGGTACAAGATGTGCGATTCAATTAATGTAGTTACTGGTAAAGATTAAAGAGCCTCGAATTAAATTCTATAGTTCACCATGACCCCGTGAAGTAAATACTGATATGATATGATTGTACTTCAATCTTTTTTTTCAAAAGATGGTCAAAACTTTATGTGCCTGATGCTTGTAACAATCTGAGATGTGTAGTCGGTAAGTCAAACGACCTCAGGCTGGCAACGCGAACAGAATAGAATAGAATAGTTTGAGGCGGTTCTTCATTTATAAATATTTTCGAGTCAACCGAACACGTCGGGTGTGCATGTACAAACTCTGACATGTGGTATCAATATGCTTGCGTTGTTTTTTTTTAGCTAAAATTAATCGAACATGACTCCTACTTAAACATGCCGTGGGCAACGTTCATTGGATGCTGGGTGGTAGTGCCAGTATAGTAGTTGTTAACTAGGTTGAGAGAACGATCAGACCAAGCGCGAATGATCGGAAATTTTAAAGATTTACTGTCATTAGGTAGACAAATTTGTGATTTATCGCAAAATTAAAATAATGTTTTGGTTGCAATCATAACAGTATTACTGAAAACACGTGACTATCTTTAAATTACCTGTTCGCATACGTAAATCAGGGAAACATGCGCATTATAGATTCCTAGTTTTCCGTCGAAAAAATCTGCTTTGTTGGTGCCAAAAGCGAGGTTTTATTCTATGGTAAATTTATGATAAAATAGTGTTTTTATCAAGATGCAATATCATTATATTAACATGCTCAAAAACACGCAACAAATATACGAACGCATGGCCTCATTAAATTATAGTTTATTGCGTACCATGTTGTGAGAGACAGCTTTAGTGAATGGTGGATGTATTTCATTATATAAAAGTGTCGCCGGCAAACTTCAGCCCTCGCTTAAATAACGATCGTCAGTTGACATGGTTATCTTAATTTATGCAGTGGATAAGCCTGGCTTTAACCCTTACCATAAATCTATTCTTACTGGTCTGTAGCGAAATTGTTAATACGACAGTGGTCTAGACATAATGACTGTTTACTTGACAGATAACCTAACAGTTGCACAGTAAGAAAAAGTAAACAGTATTCATGCACTCTGACAATGTATAAAGAACTGGTAGCACGTATTATTGCTGGTTATTATATGACATTAGAAAGGGTAGTTGGTCGATAATATTAGCGTACTTTTTTCCTTTTAATGACCTCTGACCTTCCTCAGTATGTTATGTTTAGATACTTTTGATGAAGTATCAATGTTATTTTTAACAAAGAACTATCAACTAAGAACGACCAATGTATCACAAAAAAAACCGTTGCCTATAATAATGTCTGCGTGACAATGACATAATTCTCACAACTTTATACACGCAAAATCGAAATATTATTTATAGTATGTTGTTATATTTTCTACTTTAAAGTAAGTTTGTTAATTTCGTATTTTTGTTTCTTTTTGTCCGCCACTTCTCCGAATAAAAAAATCATTCGCTATTTACAGCATGAACATGAACACTGAGGCATAGCGACAATGTGACAATCAACGTGACATTGGGAACACTAGGACAATGTGAATTATGTGAACAATGTGAACACTGCGACAATGCGACAACATGGACACTGTGACAATGTGGACAACGTAAACACCATGACAACTTGAATGTGACAACACGAACACTGTGACAATTTGAAAACTTTGACAAAGCTAACCTTGTGACAACGCGAGCACCGTGACAATGGCAACAATGCGTGACAAAATGATAAAGTCAGGATTGTCACAGTTTTCACATCATCGTGATCGTGACAATTAGATGATGTGAAAACTTTGACAATGTGATCACTGCGCAAATGTAAATGCTGCGACAACATAAACATTGCGACAACCAAGACACTGTGACGAACTGTCCAATGTTACAACACCACAACAATGTCAATATTGCGACAACATGAGCAATGTAACAACATGACCACTGAGAAGAAAGTTTAGAGAGTAATCGTTGGAGCGTATATTTACTCCAGTCAGACCAGAACACGCATCCTCGTTCACATTATGTGTCATGATGACAGAGTACAAATTCACGCCAATAAAACAAAATTGCATTTTATGGTGCGATACTCAATTAAAGTTCACACACATTAATGTAAAAATAAACGTTTTGCCACTGTCTCCACACAACACGTGAAACCAAACAAATAAAACAAAACAAAACACAAACATGAAAATGTAATATTGTTTTCCTCGCCTCCATATCACCGTAAATGATACCACCCGTGTATTTTTTTTGATTCCTACAATTGTTCGATAAATCCATTACTAATTGTAGATCTTATACTTTAAGATAACTTCAAATCAAATCGAATGCCAGGATCCGGGTATGGGCCGGATTTACACATGCACTTTTTGGGCGTGTGCCACAATTTGGACCTTATCATTTCCAAGACACGCCCAAATTAGGCAATTCGAATTTATCAACTTGTTGTGACAGGTCTAGATATGCACAGACACTTTACCAACGTTTGAAATGCCTGCGTCCTGGAACGCAATAATCAACGTTATACAGTCTGTATTTAAATAATTGTAGCGAAGCCTAAAGACATTACGGTCACCCACTATCACTCAAATATGCCAATACACTGTAGTAACATCATTAAAGACTGTGTCAACACTAACCGAGTGAAAGAGACGTGGAATTCTTTGTGCGGATAAACTATTAAACCAAACATCTGCCAGAATCTTTGTCACATTGCACAGAACTAGGGCGTCTGGATATCAGTCGAACGTCGCCATTCCTTAAGCAGTGTTACAACGTAGGCCACATCTGTCGTTTATTTTATACTGCTACATGAGCAGAGTACAAATGCGCGTAGCAGGGGCATTTTCGATATGTGCAGGTAAACGAGCTCTCCCAGTTGATTCGAAGTATATACTAGTATAAGGCAGAATTCGATACGTCGAAAAAACTTCAACAAACCAGCTGCTCTCTGATTGGTCTGTTGGTGTTGGTTAGCCAATCAGGTACAATCTTGTAAGTCGCATCCGTATCGCATTGACTCGTAGTGATGCTAGAAGTAGTAGTCACGTGGTTCCAGTAATATTATTGATGCTGTCTAATCAATTCAAAGTGATTGCCCGGGCAGAATTGAATAAATATCAATTGCCATCGAAAACATGTTTAATAGCGAGCAAGAAAGAAAACATGACTTTCTATTACCATTTGTTTTAGATTATTTGGAAGGATATGTGTATCAAAGGAAGAGGTTATATTAGAGTGATATATGTATATCCAATAAAGGGATATCAGGAAAAGTGAGTGCGATATGTTCATTATTTAGAGGGATATCAGAGTGATATGTTCATTATTTAGAGAAATATTAGCGATATATGTATATTTAGAGAAATGTCAGAGAAATATATGTATGTTTAAAGGGATATCAGGGCGATATATGAATTATTTAGAGAGATTTCAGAGTGATATGTTCATTATTAAGGGAAATATTAGCGATATATGTATATTTAGAGAAATGTCAAAGAAATATATGTATGTTTAAAGGGATATCAGGGCGATATATGAATTATTTAGAGAGATATCAGAGTGATATGTTCATTATTAAGAGAAATATTAGCGATATATGTATATTTAGAGAAATGTCAGAGTAATATATGTATGTTTAAAGGGATATCAGGGCGATATATGAATTATTTAGAGAGATATCAGAGTGATATGTTCATTATTAAGAGAAATATTAGCGATATATGTATATTTAGAGAAATGTCAGAGTAATATATGTATGTTTAAAGGGATATCAGGGCGATATATGAATTATTTAGAGAGATATCAGAGTGATATGTTCATTATTAAGAGAAATATTAGCGATATATGTATATTTAGAGAAATGTCAGAGCGATATATGTATGTTTAAAGGGATATCAGGGCGATATATGAATTATTTAGAGAGATATCAGAGTGATATGTTCATTATTAAGAGAAATATTAGCGATATATGTATATTTAGAGAAATGTCAGAGAAATATATGTATGTTTAAAGGGATATCAGGGCGATATAAGAATTATTTAGAGAGATATCAGAGTGATATGTTCATTATTAAGAGAAATATTAGCGATATATGTATATTTAGAGAAATGTCAGAGCAATATATGTATATTTAAAAGGACATCAGGGCGATATATGAATTATTTAGAGAGATATCGGGACATATGAATATCAATTACACCATAGAAATTAGCGAGTAGTAAGGAGAATGATATTCACACAGCCCAAAATCAAGTAATAAAGTGTTCAGTAATCATGTCTGGCAATAATAGATGAACTCGTGACCCATTGCAGTCAAATTTGACACGCATAGTGTCTGTAACGACCAGCTACAGTAACACTTGAACTTAGATCGTGTTAATAATGATAGACATAACGAGATTGCCGTGATATGACGAGGGGGCCAGTGCGACTATTAAATCAACCCAAGGGTCTCGTCACAGCACCCCGTTTGCTTGTTTTAATGTCTTGGCGCATCGATGCTAGTGGTTTTCGGTGTGTATTCTATGAGTTGTCAGTATATACTAAAGACCGCGTTGGACGGGGCGGAGTAAAGGTTCATCACAGGGTCTGGGAGAAAGCGTACAGCAAAACAATGTCAGTACACTGGTCATTAAAAGAAATGTGATGATTTATCCACCAGGGCGCGGAAGTGGATGACACGCGACTGGTGACGATTTACATATGTTGTGCGATTCCGTCTAAGTATATCTCACGACTCGTGACAATTCCCGAAACGCAGTTCGATTTAGACAACACCGTAGTTTTTTTTACGACATATCGAATAACCCACTCGTACATGTAAAACATTATAGAGTCCGTTTTCCGTTAAACATGAAAACGACACTCCACGCAAATACGCGCGTTTTATTTCGTTCCTTATCTTATCACGTATACTTGGACAATGAAATACTAGTGGAAACTATTTAGTGGACGATAACAAAACCTTAGATCACTCTTCGCCGCCATGTGGGGTAAGTTTTACGCTTTAATATGAGAGCTTCAAGATAGGTTACAATGAACCAGGTCTTAGAGGGGTTGTAATGTGGGTATTTAACACGAAATACGATACACATGGATCAATTGGTAGCTAAATTAACCCCCGTGGCTATAGAACATAGGTAGATTTCACAATTATTGTACCTTTCATGTGTGACTTCTCAATTCATTAGTTTTGTACGCTATGTGTTTAATCAATGAACCCTTAGCTGATGCAAAACTTCGAATAAAAAGATCGGGTATCAACAAACAAATCAATTATGGCTTTAAAAGAAAACCTCAGAGAAAAAAAAAACTAACTATGACTATTTCCCAATTGGCAAAAAAAAAAGTAGACGGACAATCATTACGAAGAATTGTATTTACTTTAACTCGCGCTGGTTCTTATAGTGTTTAATTGAGCAGTTCAAACATTCATCGAATAATGTAAGCGATAGGTGTAACACCGCTGTGAAGTAGGAGAGCTATTGAACTTGACACCCGAACTGATTAAATGGTCATCGTCACTACAAATATAGTCACGTGATCCAACGCCAACACACTGTATTAATGAAACACAGACATTTCACACCCACATTCCAATATTTGCAACAGTAAAAAATTAGTTGAGAAAGAAAAAAAATACAGCAAAAGAAGAAAAAAAAATACTTACGTTTACATACGTGTGTGTAGTCTTCGCAGCAGTCTAGGGATTGCAGGCACGATTCGTCACAAAAACATTCGCCGTATCGCCGATCTATACGAAGACCCTGACTGACGGCACAGCTCATGTCTCGGGACTTACAGCACACTGGCTCCTCTCCTCGATGACAACTTCCACAAACTTCGGAAATTTCGATCGAGGTAATAAAAAGTATCGTTGATATTAGAAACTTCATTTTCATTGATATCCACCGCCAAAATTAGATGAACACGGACGAGAAACAAGAATTGTGAGCCGTCTTGGTTATTTGTGAGAAAAAATACACGTTGTGCGGTTTGGGTGAGTATTCGCTATAACAATGTCTTACGCGCATTGACTGGCGTGTAATAGTGCATTCTGGGATTTTTATTTGGTCATTTATTCAACGAATTCTAGTTAGTGGTTGGTTGGAATGGCCCAACCAATAAGAGCTCTTGTAAAATCATATAGCACTAAGGTCAAAGTGAAATTACTAATGAGAGTACATCAATTCTACTGACAACGCCTCGGACATTCAATGTAATAATGTATACCACGTGGTACAAAGATAACAACCAACACGATCGACTTAAAACATTACGAAAGTATGAAACTGAAATTAACAAGAATGGCATTCAAAGGACCGGAAACATTTTCCGACAACTGTAAGCATAGTCCCTTGGGATACACGCGTCTCCGCTGCCCAGTGCTTGTACCCGCATATCTCTCTGAGCGTAGCTCCAATTAAACACTGATATGCGCCTTGTAAAAACGTCTATGTGACAAAGCAAATAAATGGAACAGGTTGAAGTGAAACGTAACACCAGCCAAAACTGACACAGTATTTTTTCTCTCGTAACTAAACTTTCTCATATTCAGAGAAACTTAACTTGTGTGTTGAGGGGAGATGGTTCAACTTGCAAGAAATCCATGACTGTAGAGGAGGGGGCCGATAACTTATCGCGAGTGTATGCGTAATACATGCGATTTCCATATACACGTTACGATACGGTTATCAACGAAGTTAAAACCAGTCATTATACGCTTATCACTGCAATGTGACTATTACCTAAAGTCCACGCTGCGTTAAATATAACCGCCCAACCATAACCGTTCGCAGCATTGCAAATTGCAATTACTACGTATACGTGGTACTACCAGCGTAACTGCTATCCCACACGACACTGGTGAATTTGGGTAAAACTAGACACGTTTTTCCGCATTATTGACGCGGATCGACTATTTAAAATCATAACTTGCGTCAAAGTGGGACACTGGGTAAACCCAAAAGTACATGTGTATACGTTATTCAACGTAACCACGAAACGCACCACAAATAGAACACTCCGTCAGTGAAGTAGTTCAAAAACAAGATTTGGAATTAATATCATGAACGTAGTCTGACTAACTGATTTATATTCGTAGAAGCGTCCACCAGTCGTATATAATGTGTTATAATGTGTTATTTGGCGGTTAGCCAGTTATTTACTGGTTATTGATAGCTTATAGACCTTAGTGGGGTTACACACTTGACTGCATACTTCATATGCTATCTCAAAGACTGGCCATTAGTTCGTTTTCGACCACCGAGCAGAAAATAACGATAAAGCACCATCGCTTATCAAATAAATTGTTTCTCTAGCTGGAACGGCTCATCTTTGGAGTAAAATTATCATCAATTGGTATAGAGCGTACACGCGCCCTTTCGATAAAACCGTGCCGACTATCCAGGGTGTACGCCAGCACTCTATTTTTACGCCTCGATTAGCCCATCTATTTGAGCAGTGTGTGACAGTAAACTGAAATATACAATAGTGGCTGAGCGTACACACTTATCATCATGTTTAGTGTGCCAGACAAGTATTTTGAAAATCTGGAAAGTTAAAAAAAAAATGAGCTAATTCGATGACTAATAGTTTTACTTCAATATATGACAGACGGGTATGCGCATGAGAAGCACTGCCAATGTGACATCAACCAGAACAGCATCCCGAAACATGTGCTAAAACACTAAGAATTTGAAAACAAATTGACGTGTGACATTTGGCGAATCGCAAGTCGCATTCATCGATGAGGACTAACTGACGCCTTAACGGCAGTAGTATCAACCACCCAGGCAGTACGAAGACGCAAACGTGTTTCTGTTTATGCTATCTGATGACCAATAAATTTGGTTCAACACATCTGATATTTCTTCCTGTCGTCGCTGGGTATTTATCCTTGACGTTGACGCCAGTATTTAATCAGGTCTTACGACCCTGACCACGTATACAGACAAATCGGCTAGCATTGCCAAGACATAGTTCGATTTTAACAGTTATATCAGCTGTTGCAATCCCAAATGCTTGCTGTCATTAACTAAGTGTCAAGCTTAAAATAAAATTGCGAAAACAAAAACTCCGTATGTGAACTGGAACGTTGATATTGTCTGGTAACCACAAAGAATTCAAGGTAGCCTTGCCACTGTTAATCAGCTACGTTTTTTTGCAAATTGGCTCGTATTTTTTTAATCTATAAAATACTGACCCAAAATGACCTTTGTGGGACCTAATGAGGAAACAAAGAACACTATGCATAAAGCATGCAATTAGCATGCAACTGATGACAAAAACAATGTTTCTTTCTTTCCTTGTGCATTAACGGCACATATTGTTTTAGCCTGTGTCAATTTTTTTTTTCTAAAAAAGTTTGGTCAAAACTTTTGGGAAATTTGTTTGCCCATGGAACAACACTGGGACGTTTTCGAATGATGAGGTTGCGTAACGTGCTCGTTAATTCAAGTCATATTTTTATAAAAAATATTTATAAAGATGAGAAAAATGCTTTTGTTGCTCTGAGAGTATAAAAAAAGACTATTTTTCAAAGATATTTCCGAAATTAGCTGTGTTTAGCTTTTTGCTAACTTGCCAATGGCGAGTGGGAAATGATAAGTTACCATGACATCAGAGACCTATCTGTTCCCGAAACAGGATGGTATGGATGCACGGCTACTAACCATAACCGTGATGGGGGGGGGGGGTGCATGCACGGCATTGACAGTTAACTGGGATTGTTAGTTGAAACACTTCGATTTAGTGATGACGTACAATGTACAGGAACATTTCACAAATCGCGTACCAGAATCGAATATATAGATGGTCCGCGATAAATTCTTCTGCACAAGTTTATCGCATAACTTGTACAGACTCACGCAAACACGGTGCTGTCACGTGAGTGTTTTTGTTTATATTCTGTAAAATCGTATTTTTTGAATGCGTAAAAAAGGTGTTTACGATCTGAGAGATTACACACCAACTTCACTATATACTTTCACCTGTCGGAATATTTTAATTGTCGGTCATTTGCAGTAAGAACGGTGTGTATATCATTTTAAAAACAATTTGTTGTATCAATTGTATCTTTATTTTGTATACAAAAAATTACCCGTAGTTTGATCGTCTTATTGAAATAACTTTCCATTCTCACTGCATGCCACAAAGTGCATATATGTATATGTTCACAGTCTATGAACCACTGTTCGAGTGCGGTGGTTGTGGAAATGATCTGTCGCCGTGAATGCGTTAACGACGTTGTATGTTTGAGTCTATATGACTCCGCAATGTCAATTAAGCATAGCATACTAACGTTATACGCGGGCCATTAAAATCTATGTTTACGAGGGAATTGACCCAATATAGTCCAGTTGATGGTGGTACTGTACTATCGTGATACACTCTGATGAACTCAGGTCAATTAAAAAAAATCAATCAATTTCCTTCTCCGATGAAACACGAAACCTGTTTTTTTTCAATATTTACGAAAGTCATACACACAACACGTAGTATTGTTTAGACATATAATCAGGTAAAAACTAGCTTTATGCATTTGAATAAAAATAACATGTCGGTTTATAAATTTGAACTTGATGCTGATGGATTTACGATATTTGGTCCCGTAGCTCAAAAAACTAAACTATATTCCTGGTTCTGTATTAGGACGTTCGGGCAAAGGGTCGACTGATACATACTCCGACATATCACAAAAAACTACGTGTTAACAAATATTATTTCTTAAAAAATTATAATCGCGGTCACGTGACACGCTATTCAGCTCTTGATTTATTTGCGTAAAACCAACATTCGTTTTGTTGTACATGTATTTATACAGACTGTAAACCACGGTTGTTTTACTATGCAAATAGTATTAAAGCTGCTATTGTAAATCTCCCAATCATACGAGAAAAATGAAAAACTTCAATGAACTTGTTATGCAAATAAACATGTTCCTTGGATCGACCACAATTCAGCATATCAGCCATACAAGTATTCATTTGATTGTGACCTGACCATATCAGTATTCAATGGAATGTGACATGGCCATATCAGTAATATTTAGATTGTGATCCGACCATATACGTATTCATTGAACTGTGACCTGGCCATATCAGCATTCATTGAACTGTGACCTGGCCATATCAGTATTCAATGGACTGTGACCTGGCCATACTAGTATTCATTGGATTGCGACCTGGTCATATCAGTATTCATTGGACTGTGACCTGGTCATACTAGTGTTCATTGGGCTGTGACCTGGCCATAACAGTGTTTACTGGACTGTGACCTGGCCATTTTAGTATTCATTGGATTGTGACCTGACCATATCAGTATTCATTGGATTGTGACATGGCCATATAAATATTCATTAGATTGTGACCTGGCCATACTAGTGTTCATTGGACTGTGACCTGGCCATACTAGTGTTTACTGGACTGTGACCTGGCCATATCAGTATTCATTGGATTGTGACCTGACCATATCAGTATTCATTGGATTGTGACTTGGCCATACAAGTATTCATTTGATTGTGACCTAACCATATCAGTATTAACTGGATTGTGACTTGTCTATACAAGTATTCATTGAACTATGGCCTGGCCATATCAGTATTCATTGGACTGTCACCTGACCATAAAATCAGTATTCATTGGACTCTGGGTTGACCATACCAGTATTCATTGAACTGTGACCTGGCCATACCAGTGTTTACTGGACTGTGACCTGGCCACATCAGTATTCATTGGATTGTGACCTGGCCATATCAGTATTCATTGGATTGTGACTTGGCCATACAAGTATTCATTTGATTGTGACCTGACCATATCAGTATTAACTGGATTGTGACTTGTCTATACAAGTATTCATTAAACTATGGCCTGG